CTGCTGCTGCTGCTGCTGCTGCTGCTGCTGAGGCTGGCAGCAGCAAACTGTAGCTGCTGCTGCTCTCCCCAGCACCAAGCAGCGGAATACTCATGCATGCAACTTGTCTCCAAGGAGACCCATCAAGAAAGAGAGAAGGTGCAGCAGCAGCAAGCGATTGCTGCTGCAGCGTGTTCGTTACTTGCAGCTCTAGCAGCAGCACCAGCGGAGCTGCTGCTGCTGCTGCTGCTGCTGCAGCAGCAACAAATACATGCAGCGTTGCCTCAGCCCCGTACTCTGCTTCTTCTTCTGTAAGAAGCTGCGGCCCTGAGGAGACGTGCAGCAGCAATCCATTGTTTGCTGCTGCTGCTGCTGTTGCTGCTGCTGCTTCGCCTGCTGCTGCTGCTGCTGCTTCGCTGCTCGCCAGCAACTGCACAATGCTCAACAGCCGCGCCTCCTTCTCTTCTGGTGCTGGAGCTGCTGCTGCTGCTGCTGCTGCTGCTCCTGTACCGCGTGCTACTGCTGCAGCCGGAGTTGTAGCTGTTGCTGTAGCAAGCCCAAGCTGCTGCTGCTGCTGTTGCTGCTGTTGCTGCTGCTGTTCATACTCCGCTTCCGTCGGCAGAGCATCAAGGTCTATCAAGACATCTGCTGTCTCCTCTTGCTGAAGCTGCTGCTGCAGCGCTTCACAGAGACAGCTGAGAGAGACAGGAGGCTGCTGCTGCAGCATATCCTCCAGGCATCCTTCTGCTTCTGTGCTAACTGTGCTGCTGCTGCAGTCTGCCTCCTGCTGCTGCTGCTGCTGCTGTTGCTGCTGGAGGGCTTCGTGCATTGCGAATGCTCTGTCTCTTACTTCATCATCTGGATCTGCTGCAGCAGCAGCAGCAAGCAACAGCAGCACATCTTGTCTTCTGCTGCTGCTGCAGCAGCCAACCTTTGCTAAAGCATCAATAGCTGCTGCTCTTCCGCATGAAGTCTCGAGTGTAATTCTATTAAAGATATATCTCAAGTACTTGCCGCTTGTCTCTGTTGCTGCTGCTGCTGCTGCTCCTGCTGCTGCTGCTGCTGCTGCTGGGGGGTCGTCGCAAGCCCAGCTGTCTGCTTCGTCTCCTAAGAGACACAAGACTCTGCAGCAAAGAGAAGTATATTCGCAGTCCTCAATAAACTCGCAAAGAAGAGAGAGACAGGTGTCTCTTGCTGCTGCATCGTGCTGCAGCAGCAGCAGCAAACCTTCAACAGCAGCAGCTTTTAGACCAAGAGACCCCTCTTCCCGCAAACATAGAGACAGATGCTCTAGCAAAGCTTTGTTCTTCTTCTTAAAGGACAGAGATAAACAAATAACTGCAGCAAACAGAGACAGACGAACTGTCTCTCCAGCATCAGGGTCAAAGCATAGAGGAGACACTAGCTGCAGCAGCCTTTCTACATTTGCTTCTGCTGCTGTCTTCAGCAGCACTGCTGCTGCTGCTGCTGCTGCTGCTTTGTTGCTGCCTCCTACTACTCCTTCAAGTGCTGCTGCAGCAGGAGACAGATAAGGTAAGCAGCAGCAGAAATTTGATAAAGCATCAATCGTACGAGTAGCAGCAAACCGCAGCACTGATTTGCTGCTGCTGCAGCAGCGAGCAAGAACAGCAAAAGCAGCAGACATATCATACGTTAAGAGTTTGCTGTAGCCAACCCATCCTCGTCGCTGCTGCTGCTGCTGCTGCTGCTGCTGCAGTTGGAGCTGCTGCTGTAGCTGCGGATGGACCCGTTGGAGCTGCTGCAGCAGCAGTTGCTGCTGCTGCTGTTGCTGCCGCTGCTTCAGATGCTGCTGCTGCTGCTGCTGCTGCGGCTCCTGCGCCATCGCAGCAAGAAAACAAAGCACTCTTGCTGCTTGCAGCATAATCATATCGTTGCTGCTGCGGAGACAGCTCTCTGCATGCAGCAGCAGCAGCTCTTGTGTCTTGCTGTCAGTATCTTGCTGCAGCAGGAAGTAGCTGAGGCGCAGCAGTACAACATCTACGATAGGAGATCTGTGCTGCTGCTGCTGCTGCTGCTGCAGCGCTGCAGCAGCAGCCTTCAGCTGCCCCTTCGTGTCTCCTTGCTTCAGCAGCAGCAGCAGCAGCAACGCATGCACAGCAGGAAAGGAGACATCTGATGCTGCGCAAACCTGCAGCTCCTCTGTCCACCGTCTTGCGAGCTCAGGAGACAGCTGTAAGAAAGCGAAGCCACAGAAGACTGCAGCAGAAGCAGCAGAAGCAGCAGCAGCAGCAGCAGGTGTGCATACACCCCCTGCTGCAGCACCTGCAACAAGACCCCCGCTACCACTACCTGCAGCAGCAGCACCTCCTGCAATTGCTGCACGTATATATCTCTCTGTCTGCGCAGCAACAGCAGCATCCGCAAGAGCAGCAACACAACGGAGGGCCCCACTCTTGCTGCTGCTGCTGCTGCTGCTGCTGCTGGCTGTGATAGTCTTAGTAAGAGAAGATGTAAGAACGAACGCCTCAGAAGCAGCAACGGGCAGCTGCCGCAGCAGCAAATGAATAAGCTGCTGCAGCTTCTCATATCTTGTGTGCAGCAAACGTGTCAGACTAAAAAACACTGAGCTTGCTTCTGCTGCTGTTAGCTCTGTCCCCTGCTGCAGCAAAAACAGCAGCCGCGTAGCAACACGGCAGCAGCAAACATAATCTGCAGGAGCAGCAGCAAAGCAGCGAGTCTCCTGCAGCACAGAGCCCTTGTCTATAACCCCCAAGTTGCAGCAAATGCCGCCTGTGCTGCTGCCTCCTGCTGCTGCTGCTGCTGCTGCTGCTGCTGATGCATGCGACAGCCCCAAACCAAATGACCCGAACTCAAGCTGCAGCGTACGCTGCAGCTTAGTGCGTAAAGAAGAAGCATTCAGCATCTTCCTGCTGCTGCTGCTGCTGCTGCTGTTGCTGCTGCTGCTGCTGTTGCACGCTGCTGATGCAGCTGCGCCTCACAATACGCACACTACGCCTCCTTTTCCTGCTGCTGTCGCTGCCGTTGCTGCTGCTGCTGCTGCTGCTGCTGCGTTGTTTGTCTTGCTGCTGCACCGCCTACCCTCCCCTGATGATGATGATGCTGCTGCTGCTGCTGCTGCTGCTCTCGCCGTTGCTGCAGCTGTTGAGCGTCAACCTGCAGCTCAGGCCGCCGCTCGTGCTGCTGTCGCTGCTGCTGCTGCTGCTGCTGCTTGTTTAATGAAAGCAGCAGCTAATGCATGAGAGAGGCCTACACAGAAAGAAAAAGAAATAGAGTTGCGCGTACACCCGAAACCACTAGCGGGAGGCGGCCTAACCCCCTGCTGCTGCTGCCGCTCTGCAGCTGCTGCTCCTGCTGCTGCTGCTGTGGTAGCTGCTGCTGCTGCTGCTGCTGCTACTGCTTATACACCTACGGGAAAGAGGTTAAGCAATAAATGCGTCTTTGTTTTCGCTATAAGAAAAGCATGCTGCAGCTCCTTTGCTGTGGCAGCAGCAGCGCTCTCCTGCTGCTGCTGCTGCTGCTGTTGCTGCTGTAGCTGTTGCTGCAGCAGCTGAAGAGCAGCAACAAGCCAAATAAAAGAGTAATACGGTGTATACACAGCTTAAACAAAACCTGCAAGAGAGGCAATTCATTCCGTTCTGCTGCTGCTGCTGCTGCTGCTGCTGCCGTGTCTCGGCCCTGCTGCTGCTGCCGCCGCTGCTGCTGCTGCTGCTACACATGCAGGTAGGTCGGCAGCAGCAGCAGCAGCAGTGGCAGCAGCAGCACCAGCAGCAGCAGGAGTAGCAGCAGCAGCAATAACCTCTTAAGCAGAAGCTTCTCTTTTTCACTTTGCTGCCTTGTCCCTATCGATGTTGAGTTGGGTTGTTGCTGCTGCAGCTGCTGCTGCTGTTGCTGCTGCTCCGCATGCTGCAGCAGCAGCAGCTTTATGACTTCGAGCAGCAAATAAACGTTTAATTTGCTGCTGCTTCTCTCTTTAAATATATTCCCTCATCGAAAGCAGCACCGACTCGCTGCTGCTGCAGCAGTTGCTGCTATTCCCGCTGCTGCTGCTGCAGTTGCTGCTGCTGCGGCTGCTGCTGCTGGAGATGCACGTGGTGTTAAGGACATGCAGCTGCAGCAACAACAAGAAGACAATCAGCAGCAGCAGGAACAGCAGCAGCAGCAGCCGCAGCAGTAACACCTGCATCAGCATCAGCAGCAGCAACTACGAAGCCTAAACCCTAAACCCTAAACCCTAAACCCTTACTTCGCAGTGATACACCTTCTCGCATGTCTCCCTTATGGGATTGCTTGGCGCCTGCTTAAGGATAACGAGGGTTTAGGGTTTAGGGTTTAGGGTTTAGGGTTTAGGGTTTAGGGTTTAGACTGTCTTCCCCGCACGCGCCGTGCCTGCCGCTGCCCTTGCCAGCCAAACCCTAAACCCTAAACCCTAAACCCTAAACCCTAAGGCGCTCGGCTATGGCGGGGCCTCGGTATAAGCCGTTTCAGTTTATCTGGAACAGGTAACAGCTACCCCTCTCCTTTAGGGTTTAGGGTTTAGGGTTTGTGAGGGTTTAGGTTCGTGAGGGTTTCGAGCTAGGGTTTAGGGTTTAGGGTTTAGGGTTTGCGTTCAGATTCAGTTACAGCGCATTCCATATACGAAGGGAGCGGCTCTACGATCGGCTATATGCTGTTGTTGCAGCAGCAATGATTGGGTTTACTGTCTTCCAGGGTAAACCCTAAACCCTAAACCCTAAACCCGAGTTCAAACCCTCTTCCCCTGTTCACGGCGTAGGGCGTATGGTTTGGGGTTTAGGGTTTAGGGTTTAGGGTTTAGGGTTTAGGGTTTGTGCAGGGGCTAACATAATCTACATCTGGCAAGATGCTGTGCATCACAACTATAGACACTACCTTCTTAAAGAGGTGCGTTATTAAACCCTAAACCCTCACAAACCCTAAACCCTTGCAAACCCTAAACCCTTACAAACCCTAAACCCTCATAATCAATAAACCCTCACAGATTTGTCTTCTAGGGCCTAGGATTTAGGGTTTTGAATTCGTCAGCCGCAATGAAGAAAGGCTTGGGAGGAGCTAGGGTTTAGGGTTTGTGAGGGTTTAGGGTTTAGGGTTTAGGGTTTAGGGTTTAGGGTTTGTTCGCCGCAGAAGACTCGCAAGGAATTGGCAGAGATGATTCGACTGGCGAGAGAAGAGGGGCGACTCCCTGCAAACCCTTCCAGCAGCAGCAGCAGCAGCAGCAGCAGCAGCAGCAGCAGCGAGTAGAGAAACCCCGTAAGCGTTTAGTGCCAAGGGTTTAGGGTTTAGGGTTTAGGGTTTGTACAGTTGACAGCTTGCCGTGTGACCGGAGCAACTCGCAGCAGCTGCAGCAGCAGCTGCAGCTGCAGCAACAGCTGCAGCAGCAACTGCAGCAGCAACTGCAGCAGCAACTGCTGCAGCAACAGCAGCAGCTGCTGCAGCACCAACTGCAGGAGTAACTGCAGGCGATATAGAACTGGCAGTAGACTTTGCTGCAGCAGCAGCAACAGCAGCTGCTGCAGCACCAGCTGCAGCAGCTGTAGCAATGGTAGCAGCAGCAGCAACAGCAGCAGCTGACTGGGAGCGCCGCAGCTGCAGCAACACCAACCGAAGCAGCACCATAGCAGCAACACCAACCGAAGCAGCACCGCAGCAGCTGCAGCAGCAGCAGCTGAAGCAGCAGCAGCAGCTAAAGCAGCAGCCGGAACTGCAGCAGCAAAGGCCGGGCATTTATAGTTGACTAATTTTGTTTTCTTCGCAATAAGCGATAAACGGAAGCCTAGGGTTTAGGGTTTAGGGTTTAGGGTTTAGGGTTTAGAGTTTAAAGTTTAGGGTTTAGAGGAAGGCACTCATGGACGGCGTAATACTGCTGTTTAGGGTTTAGGGTTTAGGGTTTAGGGTTTCGAGGAGACACAAGACACAGGCTCGACGCAGAGACGAGCTGAAACCCTAAACCACAAACCCTAAACCCTAAACCGTAGGCATTGCTGTTTATCTCTGTCCCTTTGTCTCTGATGCTTCTTCGTCTGTGAAAACCCTAAACCCTAAACCCTAATATTCGAACCGTGCTGCAGCACCTGTCGGTGGTTGCTGCTGCTGCTGCTGCTGCTGCTGTTGCTGCTGCTGCTGTTGCTGCTGTTGCTGCTGCTGTTTGTGATGTCTTCTGGATTTAATTGTGTAAGTGGCAGTGAAAAAAGGGTTGCAGCAGCTGTTTGCTGCTTCTGCTGCTGGATTTGCTGCTGCTGCTGCTGCTGCTGCCAGCCTGGTCACAGCCGCCACAGCAGCAGCAGCAGCAGCTGCTGCTGCAGCAGCTGCTGCTGCTGCAGATGCTGCTGCTGCTGCACTTTATTCATATGAAAAAAAGATATTATTGAGTCTTATGAAAGGTATTAAGCGATATTTCTGCTGCTATTTCTACTGACCTCTCTGCTGCTGCTGTTGCTGCTGCTGCTGCTGCTGCTGTTTACTTCATCCAGCCGACTGCTGTCAATACACCCCACAGCAGCAGCAAGAGCAGCAAAACGCAGCAAAGACACTTGAATTTTCTTGCAACTCTCTTCAGCTGCTGTTGCTGCTGCTGCTGCTGCTGCGAAGGCAGCAGAAGAACTCCGCAGCAGCACTGCAGCGGCGGCCGAAACCCCTAAACCCTAAACCCTAAACTATCACAGCTCTGCTGCTTCATCGCGTAAGGCGGTGTAGCAGCTGCAGCAGCAGCTGCTGCTAACAACAACTGCACTTGGAGTAGCAGCAGCAGGAGCAGCAGCAGCAGCAGCAGCAACTGCAGCAGCAGCAATAGCAACTAATGACTATCCCCAGCCGTTCTTCAAAGCGCAGCAGCGCCGCCACCGCAGAGCAGCGGCCCTTGCTGCAGCAATCAAAGAAGCATCAGACAGCAGCAGCAGCAGCAGCAGCAGCAGCAGATGATCAGCTGCGCAGCAGCACCTGCAGCGGCGACACCGGTTCTCCCAAGTCTGCCTCATCTGCAGCAACAAGCGAATCAGCAGCAGCAGCAGCTGCTGCTGCTGCCGCTGCTGCTGCAGCAGCAGCACGTCCTTTTCTGCCGGCTTGGGGCCCCAGCCAGCTGCAGCAGCTACGTGAAGCAGCAGCAGCAATATTTGCTGCGCACCGTCTAACACTGAAGGTGATTCCTGTGTCTGCAGAGCTGCAAGGAAAGTGCAGCAGCAGCAGCAGCAGCACCTCCTCCCAGCCACAGCAGCAGCATCAGCAGCAGCAGCAGCAGCAGCAGCAGAAGGGTGCACTGGATTTGCTGCAGCAGCAGCAGCTGCGAAACTTGAGAGATTATCTGCCTCGTAGAATCGCTGAAAACATATCTTTTTGTTTGTCAGATGTAAATCTACCTGAGAGCAGCAGGAACAGAAATCTGCCGCTGCAGCTGCTGCCTTCCGGAGACCCCACAGCTGCTCTCGCACCAGCTGTCTTGCAGGCTGCAGCAGAAGCTGCTGCTGCTGCTGCAGCAAAAGTTCGAGAAGAACATCAGCAGCAACGAAAGCAGCACGAAGAAGAAGGGGGTCCTGATATTAACAGCAGCAAAAACTGCAACGCCAACAGCAATAGCAACAGCAGCAGCAGCAACAGCAGCAGCAGCAACAGCAGCAACAGCAACAGCAACAGCAGCAGCAACAGCAGCAGCAACAACAGCAGCAGCGATCCCGTTGGTTCTGATGAATCAGGATCTTCAGGAGCGTCAGCAGCAGCAGCAGCAGCTGCTGCTGCTGCTGCTGCTGCAGTAATATCTTGTCGCAGCGGCAGCAAAAAGAGCTGCAGCAACATTCAGCGCAAGAAGTTGAGGTCGCTGATGGAGGGGCTAAGAGAGGAGACATTTTCGGGTTTCTGGCTGCTGCTGCTGACAGACAAGTACCGCCTGCAGCAGCAGCAGCAGCAGCAGCAGCAGCAGAAGCCGAAGCACCAGCAGCAGCAGGAGCAGGAGGGAGATACAGCAGCAGCAGCAGCAGCAGCAGCAGGTGGAGGGGGGCAGCTAAAAAGATTAGTAGTGTGCGGAGCTCTAATAGAGATCCTTGAGAATGAAGAGAGACAGCTGCAAGCTGTCTGGGCGTGTCCAAACCTCAGCAGCAGCAGCACGAGGTTGCTGCTAGATGTCTTCTTGCGTGTTGCTGCAGCAGAAGCATTTGCTGCTCAGCCCCACTCCAGCAGCAGCACCAGCAGCAGCAGCAACGGTAACTGCAGCAGCAGCAGCAGCAGCAGCAGCAAGAAGGATAAGGGGACGAAGAAAGAGAAGCGCAGCGACAAACACAAACACAAGCACAAACACAAGCAGCAGCAGCAGCAGCAGGAGGAGGAGGCATTGCAGCTGCAACCGGTGCAGCAGCAGCAGCAGCGGAAGCTGCTGTTTGCTTCCTGCAGCGATCTCTTTGACTGGCCGCGTCAAGCGGCCTTCTTAATTGCTGCTGAAGAGCTGCAGGGATGGAGACTTCACTGCGAGCTGCTGCTAGAAGAATCTGCTGCTGCAGGTGGTGGTTCTGATGGTCGTGCTTCGAAAGGCTCTGGAGCAGCAGCAGGAACAGCAGCAGCAGCAGCAGCAGCAGCAGCAGGGCGGCCTGAATTTCATTACTTTTATGCAATAACCGAGGGTTTGCTGCTGCAGCAGATACCTTCTCAGCAGCAGCGGCAGCAGCTGCTGCTGGAGCTGAGCCCTCACGAGAGGCAGCTGCTTCCTCAAGGGTGGGTGCAGCAGCAGGGTTGGCTTGATGTGCTGCAGCAGTTGGCTGCTGCTGCTGCTGCTGCTGCTGCTGCTGCTGAGGTGTATGCGCACCTCCCGCTGCTGCCGCAGCTGCTCGACATACCACCGCTTTCGGTTGAAGATGATGAATGCTGCGGCCTCTCTTTAAACGCTGCGCTGTCTATACACTCCAAATTGCAGCAATATGCTCAGCCCTAAACCTGCTGCTGCTGCTGCTGCTGCTGCTGCTGCTGCTGTTGCTGCTGTTGTGGAAAGGTGTGGGTGGAGGCTGCCCAGCTGTGCGTACACCGCAGCACAAGCTGCAGCAGCAGCAGGTGGTACAGCAGCAGCAGTTGATGCTGCAGCAGCAGCAGGTGGTGCAGCAGCACCAGGTGTTGCAGCAGCAGCAGCAGCAGCTGCTGCTGCTGCTACTACTGTCGCGGCCCCGTGCTGCTCCTTCTCCTCTCAATCTCGCCCCAAGCAGCAGCAGAAACAACAGTAAGAGCAGCAGCAGCAACACCGGCAGGTGCTGCTGCTGCTGTTTGCTGCTGGAAGCAGCAGCGCTAGATAGACTGATATGAAGAAGCCTAAGTGCTCTTAGTGCTTTTGCTGCTGCTGCTGCTGCTGCTATTGCTGCTACTACTGTTGCTACTCCTGCTGTTGCTGCTGCTGTTGCTGCTGCTGCGTGGCTTGCGACGGGATTTGTATTGCCGAGACAGACAGACAAACAAAAGATATAAACAAACAAACGAATATATAAACAAACAAAGATATAAACAAACAAACGAAGATATAAACAAACGAAGATATAAACAAACAAAGATATAAACAAACAAAGATATAAACACAGACAAACAAACAGAGACAAACAAACCACCGTCCATCGAGTCGCATAGCCCCAGCTAAGGGCCTATCTTCGGCTGTTAGCTAGCTAGTCAGCTAGCTGCCTAGCCAGCTGCCTAGCTAGCTGCTCAGCCAGTTGTCTAGCTAGCTGCTTAGCTAGTTAGCCAGCTAGCTCGCTGCTTAGCTAGCTGTCTAGCTAGCTGCTTAGCTAGCTGTCTAGCTAGCTGCTTAGCTAGCTAGCTAGCTGCCTAGCTAGCTAGCTGGTGGGTGATGTCGCCCTGTAGCTGCCGCTCGATTTGAATTGGGACAGCAGGGCTAGGGATAGAAAATTAGGGTTTAGATAGGAATTAGGGTTTAGATAAGTATTAGGGTTTAGATAGGAATTAGGGTTTAGATAAGAATTAGGGTTTAGATGAAAAGATTAGGGTTTAGATAAGCATTAGGAGAAAGTAGGGTTTTAAGAATTAGGGTTTACATGAGCATTAGGGTTTTGATAAAAATTAGGGTTTAGATGAGAAGAATTAGGGTTTAGATAAGAATTAGGGTTTAGACTAAGAAAATTAGGGTTTAGACAAGGGTTTAAGAGATGTTGCGCGAGGGTTTAGGATTTGCACTGATTAGGGTTTAGGGTTTGCACTGATTAGGGTTTAGGGTTGACTGATGAGGGTTTACAATAATAAGAGTTTAGTGGATAAATAGTATTAGGGTTTAGGGTTTAGGGTTTAGGGTTAATTATTGCTAACGAATTGCTGCAAGTTGTTTAACCATCGTATATACTCTCTGTTCTCTTTATCTGCAGCAAACCTCTCTATAAACAAACAAAGCTCAGAGTTAATGCCGAAGTCTGATAATAAACGCTCAAACTTGTCCTGAAAACGCTCGTCTAAGTCTTCATAGAACGGCCCCGGGTAGTTCGCTAGAGAATCTTTTGCGCTGCTTTCTTCGTAATATCGCACCTGAACAAATACATTAATTAATAATAATATATATTATT